CAACATATCCAAACCATGAGGGAAGCCTGAATTAGAGGCGGGAGCGCTGTCCATAAATTGACAAATTGATGCGCTAGCGGTGTTTCACTTACACAGCTACTTTAGCCAGACTCTGAATGTGGCTTTGCAAATCAAGGCTTCTCACTATTAAATGTTTTGAACTGAAGCTCACAGAAGTTCTCTTCAGTGAACACGTTGATACGAATAATATGGGGAAAATGCATAGATACACATATATTTATAACTCAGGGTACAGAAAAGTGGGTTGCATCGTTGTTAAGCATGAAAACGCTAGCACTGATTCTGCTCTGTGTGGATTACATGTATCAAAATGATTTTCAAGGACAAAAGAATACCAAAAATGTAAAGTTCTCTCCTTTTTCTTTTGTCAGGTCCACACCTAATCTTGTAGATGAGGTTTTAGGGCTATTTTCCTGCTATCAGTGTTTAAACACTTTAGCTCGTTTCTATATATTAATTAATAGAAAGGGACACCGATTTTGATTTCTTATTTGAGAGCGTAGTCAAGCCATCTTTTGCTTTAAAAGGTTCCCAGTGCCTTTGTCTTCTCTAGTTTAAATAATGAAGTTGAAGGATAAGTAGCCAGAGTGTCTTCAAGGCCTTGGCTTTATTTCGTTAGACCTAATTATTCCAGACAATGCAAACTATTTTTCCGTAAGTCCCCCTTACCCATTCAGAGTGTACCTGTGCTTCCTGCTTATCTGCAGGTTCAGTTCTGCTTGCACGCTGCTCAGGTCTATCACCTTGCTGGAGAAATACATGATCTGTAAATCTGAAAGAATTTCCCAACAGCTACCATAAAATTAAACTGTTAAAGAGCTCTTGGAGCTTGTTTAAATGTAGACCTAAACAAACCTCTTTGCTGTTTAGCTCAAGATAAATCTCTTAAAAAGTCCTGTTCTAAATCACTTCCTAATTTTAATGAGTTTATATATCAGCCTTTGCCAGATTTTTACTGCAGCTATTCTCCAAGATTACAGCCACGATAAAGTAAGGACTAAAATTGTTTATTATATATTATTCTTCAGAAGCAAAACTTTTTCCCCCAGAGGCTGTTGGGAGAGCTATTGATTTTCTGCCACAATGTGAAATGTGTGACCTTTATAATATGAGCAATGATTACAAGGCCAATAAAATGACATCATTCTGTTTAAACTTCAGAGTTCGAACAAATAGCAGAATGTGCCACATTTAATGATGTCCACGGACGATAAGTGTACGTTGCCTGGCTTCGAGTGAGACTGAGCCACGAAGCAGGCAGGCTCCCCGTTCCCAAAATACCCCGTGTCTGTGCCAGGAGTGGGGGACAGGAGCGTATGTACTGCGTAGAGCTGTATCTTTTCCCAGCTCTTAAGGCAAGAAGTCGCTGCTTTTCTGAGAGCAGACGTTTCTAAACGTTTGAATCTACCCATGCCACTGACAAAGCTCCTCCTGACGTGATACAGGCAGAGCTATTTGGGGCACAGCTGTATACATTCGCACAGATTTTCCCCAGTCCACTCCATATGCATTTACAGGACTAAATTCTGTTCTTGTAATACTGCTTTAGCCACTTCATTGCAGTTCCTCTAGAGTAGCGGAGAGAAGGTTCCATCCCAAATATATAAGTATAACCGCACAGAGCATATTGATATTTTAATACATGTGAAAACAAGGAACACAGAAAGCTTTAGTCAGATTTGGAGGGGGATGCCAGAACCTGATTCACTGAAATAATTTCAGAGCAGAAACCACAGAATCATAGAATCATAGAATGTTTTGGGTTGGAAGGGACCCCTAGAGGTCATCTAGTCCAACCCCCCTGCAGTGAGCAGGGACACCGCTAACTAGATCAGGTTTGTCAGACTCCTGTCCAACCTGGTCTTGAAATTTATGGAAATTTATCTGTGCATTTCCCACTTCAATCGCATCAGTCTGCGTCCCCACGTTGTCTTCTTCCAGTCCTTCAAAAATTCATTTTTGATCCATTAGGACCCACTTCAGCCAATTCCCCATCCATTCTCCAGCCCGTACCAAGCCAGATCCCCAGCATGGAAACCAGGGTAGCTGCAATTTCCCCTTGACGCAGTGTTTGGACCAGCTAAACATGAAGCCAAAGTGCCCGTTGCTTAGAAAGCACAAGCAAAACACCACAACACATTCAAGGCATTGCCGAGGAAGGAACAAGGATAATTTTCTTTCCCATTTCTGGCTCATTGTGTAATATCAATAATCTCTGTAGCTTTGTATTATATTTGCCGTAAGTGGCTCCAGTGATTGATTAAACACCTTAGCTTTTTTTTGGCATTTAATCAATTGCAGCAGCAGTTTATTGCTTGGTGTATTACAAAGTAAGAGAGATTATTACTTAATTATTCTGAAAAACAGCAGCTTGCAGTTGTTGCTAACATGGGGATGTGTCTACACTGACACCGGTGCCACAGCATCCTTTCCTTTGTGCCTCCTCATCTCCGTGCTGGGAGAGAGCGTGTGATTCCTGCCGGGTCACACGCAGTCAAGCCCGCAGCCGTCGCCAGCACAGTGCAATTAGTCACGTTAAATAAATAATTGCTTATGGTGAGGCTTCCCACAGTGCAAAGAGCCTGGGTCTGTCACTTGCTGGGTACCTCCAAATCTCACATAAATTTTAGGCAATGTCCTTATTAACCAGCCCACGTGAATAGGAACTCGCTGTCAGGTACAAACCACTTCTGGAAACAATTCAGCAAGAATTACATCGGTACCAAGAGGCATTTTGATAGCTCAGGGTGCAGCACCGGATGTGTGCGCAACTGGAGATAAATCAGATATAGGGAATGTTACTGGTATATGTGAGTGTGAGAAAGAGAAAAAAAATAACATTTTCTGACACCCTCTTGAGGAGCTAGGAAATGGCAACTCTTGTGTTTTGACACCTGAGGTTTTCTGCCTTGAGCGCAAAATTGAATCCATATTCAAGAGTTCAGAAAGAATATTGTGGTGTGATAAAGCATAAGGATTCAGGGTAGCGTGCACATCTGTGCATGCAGGGGTACCCCAGGTGTCGTGATCAGTATGTGTGCTTATCCATCCGCTTGTGGTACCCCAGGTGTCGTGATCAGTATGTATGCTTATCCACCTGCTTGTGGAGTAGAACCTAACCCATCTGTATTCCCAAGCAAAGGGACAGTCCAATATTTAGAACAAAAAAAATGAGGTTTAGTTCCTTGCTTTGCCCCTGACGTTCTCTATGATCGTAGGCGAGGGTATTTGTCTCCTTGTGCCTCAGTTTCCTTTTGTGAATGGGAGTAACCGATGTTCACTACCTTAGAGAAGCATAAGAAATGAAGGACTCCTAGCTGGTCCTCCACTATCGTAATGGACACCATCTAAATACTTTCAGTAGAAAAATGAAATCTCTTTAAAGCTTTGATCCTGCAAAGATGCATATGAATTAAAGCTGTGCCCTTGACTTGAACAGGGCTAGTCAATGGAAAACCAGTGACAAAGCACCCAATGGAAATTTTAGGCATTTCCCCAAATAATTTTAGGGGTTATTGGGATGGGTGGGTGGAGTGTCATGATGTTTTATAAGGGAACAAAACGGAACCTCTTATGTTGTTTATTTTTCCTCCATTTCGGTAGTAGAGGTCTGACCATCACCTTTCTAGACAGCTTTGCGAATCCAAGAGGTTGGTAGTGCTCTTGCGCATGCTTAAAGCTGGCATTGCCTGTGAGTAGTGATGCTTTGGCCAGTCCATACGAGTCACGCAGCATCGTATGCCGGTTTTGTGTCAATCGTGCAATGGCTTTTGCAAGTACTCTAGCAGAATTGGAGCGAGCAGACGTTGACTGTCCAGTGACTAGGAGAAGTACATGTTTCTTTGAGAAGGTGCTGGATGGTCCTAACCATTAAAAGAGTTTATTTTCTTACTCCAACAGATTTCCCCTCCCCTCCTTGATGTTACCAAATTTATTATCACTTTTGTCTTTCAGGTGTAACCTGTCTTTAGTGTTGCAGACACATCAGCCAACCATGCATTAAGAACTGGGCCCTTACTTTTAATTCAGTATAATTTTCTTTTTGTCCAATAATTTCACAAGCACTAATCCACACTTCAAATGCAGGAGATACTTTGATCCCCAAATTGTTCAGCACTTCATGCAGGAAAAACCGTAGGCCACAGTCATGAAACTCCTAGAGGATGGCTGCTGGCTTCCGTGGCAGAGCTGGTTGTTGTTTTCCCCCCTCTCCCTTCTTTGCTCTAACCATTTTGTCTGTCTATCTTGTCTTGTATTCAGTTTTCAAAGCAATTGCCATGAAGGGCTTCCTTTTTTTAGTGCCTAAAAGGGAACAATAGATTTTTAGAATAAGCATAGATACATTTTATTTATATGACCGTCTGCATATGCCTGGCATATCTAAACTTTAAGATAACATGCTGAGAAGTTCAAGCCAAACAGAAATTAATATTTATTATTGTTATTTTTTATGAAAAGGTCTTTAAATGTATCCTTAAATGCACATGACATTTAAAATTATTCCGGTGCTGGATTCCTGAAAAAGTAGATGACCTTTTCTCTTGAAATTGGAGAGTGTTTTTTCCTTAACAGTTATATTATGCACAGAAGATGAGATATTAACCAAGATGTTAAAATGTATTGTTTCCCTTTGAAAGCTAATCCTGTTCCTCATTTTCATTAATGTTGGCTCATTTGTTTTTCTTTTTCTTTCTTTCTTTTCCTTTCCTTTTCTTTTGCAACTGTTTTTGCATGAAAATGCAGAGTAGCAATAAACAGATTTTTTGTAAGACTTGCTTTAAGACTCTTCTCTTTCAGATCCAGTTAAAGTTTTTAAGTTCAGTTATTTTAAAATTCATATTCTTCGCTTCCGTAAACAAAAAAAAAAAAAGGAGAAATATAATGAGGTGCAAAACGATTTTCTAGCCCTCACTAATCAATAAATGCCAACAACATGGGGATGGTGTAATGTCCATAATTTAATTGTCTGCTGTTACCAGGTCACCACGAGACAGTAGCAGAAGCGGGGAGAAGCTGGAATTGGCCATGTCCAACCTCACTGCGGATGTCCTGGAATTACTCCTGGAGTTTGTTTATACAGGTTCTTTGATCATAGATTCAGCCAATGCAAAAACCCTACTGGAAGCTGCCAGCAAGTTCCAGTTTCATACTTTCTGTAAAGTCTGCGTTTCATTTCTAGGTAAGAATCACTCCATCTAGTGAGGTTTTAAGATGTCATTTCAAGGTTTGTAGGCCTTTCTTCTGATAACTCTTAAAAGATAATTAGGAAACCCAAGATTAAATATAATAAAATAAAATTTTAAACCCCACATTATTTATTTGGGTTGAGATTTGAATTTAAAATGCTGACACAGTGGCCAGTGGTAAATGACCTAGAGAAGTGTAGACTGTTGTTCGAGTGGCAACTGCTTTCACATCTTGGGAAGACTTTTTTGTTGAATCTTCTTACATACTTGTGACATTTTGTTTCCCAGAGGTTGTTCTCTACACAGATACAGGGCTGTTATGCGCAGGTTGCTTATAACTGTGACAGCAAATGTTGGGTGCCACACCAGGCCAGCTTGGTCAAGCACTGAAAGAGTTGGAGGTGGACTCCCACAGAGGAGTCAGGATCTGCAATATTCTTGCATCCATGAGAAAATCCTTCACATGTTCAATGTTCTTGTAAAAAAGATCTGGTTGAATGTTGACGGGGCTTGTTCTTTCATGTAGAGATATGGTCTGATGGATATGCATCATCACAGATGGGAATGAAAGGTTGCTCTGCCCTCCATTGATAACTGGAGTGCCCTGCGTGTACAGGGAGTGTTTGCCCCAGCGAGGGTGTACAGACCCAGTGCTTCTGTCCATCCTGCCATGGCCACACAAGAAGCCTATTCCTTCTCATCCAGAGCACTGTGTCATCCTGCTCCTTGCATTCTCTGTGTATTTTCCAATATAGACTATTTCAAAACAGTCCAAGGTGACCAGCTCAGTCAACTAAGCTTTACTGGTCTGAACTGGAACCATCCAGCCCCATTTCTGTCATGGCAGAAGAGGAGCCAAAACTGGAGCTCAAATAAAGCATTTGTTGGTTCAAATTCCTGCCTGTGTCACATGCCGCTCCTTCACTAACGTGGTTATAATATCAGTTAATGAGACAGTAATAATTTACAATTATTAACACAAACTTATTAATACAAAAAGTGTGAGCTTGATCTTACATGACTTACTTCCCATGTCAAAGTTCCAAATACCTTTTTTGGACCTCTGATTTCTATTCAGGCTCCCTCAACTTGGTATGGGAGATGTCATTCTCTCTGGACCCCAAATGCATCTTCAATCCACATGAACTATGGGTTCTTCTTGGGCAGTTCTCATTTAAAATTGACATCTAGAATTACAGAGTGTGGAAGATGAGAGTTTAGAAAATGCTGCATTCATTTAAAAACAAAACAAAACAAAACAAACTCCAATGAGTCCAGTTTACTGCTGTGTTAATTTTCACTGCTAAGCTGACCTGCTGGCAAGATGAGTGGTGTGACTAGGCTGGGATAATGCAGGCATCAGTAAAGGATCTCTGGTACTGCATTTTTCTCTTCTTTCCAGCTTTTTATATGTCGCTTGTTTAAAAGTCTGTTATCAAATGGGTGGGTAATGAAGAAGTGAAATCTATGCTTTGCAATCCCACTGTGTTGGTTGTGCAACTTGAGTGCGGGCTCCGGCTCTGGCATTGCTTTCCCCCAGCTTCCCTTCACCACTTTTTAAAGTGATTTGATCTTAGGGCCTTTCCAGGAACAGATGTGTTGAGTTGCACTGTCTCTAAATATTCAGCCACAAAACCAAAATACCTTTATTTCACTAAATCAATGTGAGATTTCTCTTTTCCGATAGTTAATACTCGAATTCAGTGAACCATGCTATGGTATGAAATAGGAGAGTTGGTTATAAGTTCAGTGATATATGGGAAGTCACTGGAATTTTGTATTCTCATTTGGAGAATTCTTGGAGTGTAATTGCTTATTTTTATTTATAGCTGTGACTGCATTGCTTTACAGAGATAGTAAAGCATTTGCCGTCTAAAAAGTTTAGGGAAAGGCATTTTTCTCTGTGGCTGTGGTTTTTCTTTTCATCCCAGCTACCTCTGCTCCCCAAAAAGCAAAAAGATGGTAAAAATCAGGGGGGTTTCCAGGATTTCTGGAGGATTCGCCAGTATAAACAGTGATTCTTTCCCATCAGTGGCCACATCTAAATAGCGGAGGGAAATCCAAAGAGGCCCAAAGAAGTAAAAGCTGTTCAGCGCAGCACAGCACTGTCTCAGGGGGAATTCAGGTCATCGTTTTCCAGCCGTGAAGCTCCAGCAGGGTCCTAACTCTGTCCAGGCAGCTCTTGTGTCTCTATCCTGGGCCTCTCAGCAGCTTTGGGCAGAGGCACCCCAAATCTGCTTGCACTTCTGGTGGCAACATGCTGCAAATGTGTCAGGAAAACTGTTTCGTTTCAACAGGAGATTTCTTAACCAGTTTCGCTGGGCTAATTATAGCTACCTTCTCTCTCTCCCCCACATTCTGTCTCCTCTGCTTTTGTCTAGACCATGAGAAATGACAACAGTTTTGTGCCGACTGATGCAATGATGCTGACAAGTTCGTGCAGGCACCATATGATAACTGGGCAAATGTTTGCAAACTGGTCAGGACACCATAGGTATTTCCTCCATCCATATGGCTGAAGACTGGAGGGTTTTTTCTTTTTCGTTTTTTTTCATATTTGTTTTATGCTATCATCACAGTCATGGCTCAATTGGATTTCGGAGGATTCATCAGTATCACAGTTTGGGTCCGTGATGCAGGGACCCCCCATCACAAGAGTGCACAGATTCTAAGCTTGTACTTCAGCCTACTGATTATAAAATAAAAGTATTCTTCTGTAAGTCTAAAGAAGTTGGTGGAGCCTGTTAGATTCATGGAGGAGAATAGGAAAGAGCAGGAGCTGCAAATTTTCTGAAGTCTCCTGGGCAAAGGGCACAAAGACAAAGTTTGCAAAGAGTATGAGAGGGAGCTGTGAGAAAAACTGAACAACGGACCAGTAATGAGACCTGCATGAACAGGCGTATGCACCTGAGAGAAGAAGAGGCCTTTATGGTCCTTACGAATCCGAGAGAAAGTATTATGGCTAATTTTTTGTTCATCCAAGGTGGAGAATTTTGAACCAGATGGAGAACCAAGCTGCCCAGCACTGGAGAAACTGAAGCATCAACCATATCTGGAGATAGGAGAAATGAGGAACACTCTCACAGGGGAAGTGAAATCTTTTGGACAGTAAATGCACCCAGAAGTCTTCCACCTATCGCCCATCTTCACATGCTTTTGGCACTGGTAGGAATACCCAAGGAATAAGATCCCCGTACTGCATTTTTCTCTTCTTTCCAGCTTTTTATATGTCGCTTGTTTAAAAGTCTGTTATCAAATGGGTGGGTAATGAAGAAGTGAAATCTATGCTTTGCAATCCCACTGTGTTGGTTGTGCAACTTGAGTGCGGGCTCCGGCTCTGGCATTGCTTTCCCCCAGCTTCCCTTCACCACTTTTTAAAGTGATTTGATCTTAGGGCCTTTCCAGGAACAGATGTGTTGAGTTGCACTGTCTCTAAATATTCAGCCACAAAACCAAAATACCTTTATTTCACTAAATCAATGTGAGATTTCTCTTTTCCGATAGTTAATACTCGAATTCAGTGAACCATGCTATGGTATGAAATAGGAGAGTTGGTTATAAGTTCAGTGATATATGGGAAGTCACTGGAATTTTGTATTCTCATTTGGAGAATTCTTGGAGTGTAATTGCTTATTTTTATTTATAGCTGTGACTGCATTGCTTTACAGAGATAGTAAAGCATTTGCCATCTAAAAAGTTTAGGGAAAGGCATTTTTCTCTGTGGCTGTGGTTTTTCTTTTCATCCCAGCTACCTCTGCTCCCCAAAAAGCAAAAAGATGGTAAAAATCGGGGGGGGTTCCAGGATTTCTGGAGGATTCGCCAGTATAAACAGTGATTCTTTCCCATCAGTGGCCACATCTAAATAGCGGAGGGAAATCCAAAGAGGCCCAAAGAAGTAAAAGCTGTTCAGCGCAGCACAGCACTGTCTCAGGGGGAATTCAGGTCATCGTTTTCCAGCCGTGAAGCTCCAGCAGGGTCCTAACTCTGTCCAGGCAGCTCTTGTGTCTCTATCCTGGGCCTCTCAGCAGCTTTGGGCAGAGGCACCCCAAATCTGCTTGCACTTCTGGTGGCAACATGCTGCAAGTGTGTCAGGAAAACTGTTTCATTTCAACAGGAGATTTCTTAACCAGTTTCGCTGGGCTAATTATAGCTACCTTCTCTCTCTCCCCCACATTCTGTCTCCTCTGCTTTTGTCTAGACCATGAGAAATGACAACAGTTTTGTGCCGACTGATGCAATGATGCTGACAAGTTCGTGCAGGCACCATATGATAACTGGGCAAATGTTTGCAAACTGGTCAGGACACCATAGGTATTTCCTCCATCCATATGGCTGAAGACTGGAGGGTTTTTTCTTTTTCGTTTTTTTTCATATTTGTTTTATGCTATCATCACAGTCATGGCTCAATTGGATTTCAGGAGATTCATCAGTATCACAGTTTGGGTCCGTGATGCAGGGACCCCCCATCACAAGAGTGCACAGATTCTAAGCTTGTACTTCAGCCTACTGATTATAAAATAAAAGTATTCTTCTGTAAGTCTAAAGAAGTTGGTGGAGCCTGTTAGATTCATGGAGGAGAATAGGAAAGAGCAGGAGCTGCAAATTTTCTGAAGTCTCCTGGGCAAAGGGCACAAAGACAAAGTTTGCAAAGAGTATGAGAGGGAGCTGTGAGAAAAACTGAACAACGGACCAGTGATGAGACCTGCATGAACAGGCGTATGCACCTGAGAGAAGAAGAGGCCTTTATGGTCCTTACGAATCCGAGAGAAAGTATTATGGCTAATTTTTTGTTCATCCAAGGTGGAGAATTTTGAACCAGATGGAGAACCAAGCTGCCCAGCACTGGAGAAACTGAAGCATCAACCATATCTGGAGATAGGAGAAATGAGGAACACTCTCACAGGGGAAGTGAAATCTTTTGGACAGTAAATGCACCCAGAAGTCTTCCACCTATCGCCCATCTTCACATGCTTTTGGCACTAGTAGGAATACCCAAGGAATAAGATCCCCGTCAGAACGTACACAGAGTATGATGAGGAAATGCATGTTTTATGCTAATTTTAGTGATATCCAAGGCATCATCTAGAAGGCATCTCTAAGTGAAAATACAGTGCTTAATGCACACAGAGGGGGCTCACATCGGCCACTGAGCTTCCATCATACTGTTACCGCAATCTCGCTGAGTAATCCTTCCTACGTACCATCTATCTCCGACTTTATCTCAAGTCATCCCTCTCCCAGAAGTGCAGCCTTAGCACTCTGCCTGGCTGATTATCTCATGATGACTCTGCACAGGATCCCGTTCCAAAATCACATCTTAACACAAGCCGAGAATACCAGCTGCTGATCTGCAATACTGTGACATACGAAGAAATAAGTATGCTATTCAGCAATGTCTCAAACCAGTAAGAACCTACTAGATTACATCTGATATCCTTAAAGTCCACTGTTATGAACTGTCCTTGAGCACTGGGAATAGTTCAGTAGTCAGCAGTCACGTTCTGAATGGACTCAAGGTGAAACTCCACAGGAATGTGTTGTTACAAGTCCAGTGTCACTGTGGCAAAACCAGCAATTGCTGTAAACATGTCAGCATCCAAAGGAAAACCGCTCAGGAGCAGATGGAGCAGAACTGGTCCTTAGCTGTCTTTGTCATGTCAGCATCCAGAAGTGCCCCCGGATTGCAAACAGTTGCTTGGGATGGGCTGTACTATATAGCAGAAGTCTACATCTAAGTAGTCATGTAGGCTTTTATAGTCACTGAAGAGCAACGGGCACTGATAAGGCATGGTTCTGCTCATCCTGAAGTCGTTATCCAAAATATTACCAGATTCATCCAAAATATTACCAGATTGCTTCTTGGAATTCTTTGTCTATGAGTGTACAGGGATACTAATGTAATTGCTCAGTTGCACGATAGGCAGCTGGAATGAAGAGAGATCAATCTCAGCCCCAAATTTTGAGACAGAGGTGAGAAATGGAGGGTGTGTTTTTTCTGTTCGCAGGATAGAGATGTTCCGTACCTCCTGTAGCTGTTGCCCCAACCTCTGTCTTGCTCACCTGCAGTGAATCCCTTCAGTTCACATGCCACCCTCTTTAAAAGACATCTCTGTGCCCACCTTGCTGTGGTGCTCATGACATCAAAAGTGATGAACTGCAAAGAAGTTCATCAGCAGCCTCCTGAACATACCGTAATCAGCATCTTCCCAGCACCCCTCTCTAAATGGCCTTATCGTACTTGCTGGAGCAGGCAGGAGTAGCATCGTTTGGGTCTGCCACTGAGCGGTTTCTTGGGGAAGACGAAGGAGGGAAGCTCAAAGGGACAACATGGAGCTGCTTGGACACCAGTGTACCAGGCTGCATCAGCCACCCAGCATTGTTAGAGGCAAAAAAACCTGTCCAGCTCAGAAGAAACCAGTTGTGACCAGTGCTTTCTCTGCCCCACGCCACAGGCTCAGCTGGGGGTGGTATGGGAATCTCTCCTGATAGAGGCAGACCCAGTCCCTTGAAGGTGAAGACTCATTCTTGCAAGACTTTTCCATCGTTTGGTAGTAAATGACTGCTTAATAAGTCAAACTTGGTTATTACCTTTATTATAAACCCCACAAGGATAAGGTGGAGCAGTGTCAAATTTTTCTTTGGCTTGAGAGTTTGCCAAGAGATGATGAAGAGTTTGGGGCTCTGTTAGATTATTACTTTACCCCCGGCCGTATGTATACATGAAACTGTGCCAACAGGAACCTGGAAGAGCTTTTTGGTTCTTTTTTTTTTTTTTTTTTTTTTTTTTTGGAAAAGCAGAAATTTGGGGAGCTTGGTGCTTCATAGTTATCAGTTTGCAGCCTGTCTCTGGGCAGTCTTTGAGTGACAAAATCTGCTGACAGCGAACAGTGCCTCTGCTCCAGTCTGCTTGAGGAAATGGGCTCCTTGGAGTCAGTACAATCAGCTGATGCAAAATGAGATAACCTAGTTTAAAGATTGGTGGATCTGTAAAAGAAAATAAAAAGAGTGAGGGGAAAAAGAAAACAACAACAAAAAAAAAAACACAAAACAGAAAACTCCTAATCTCATGCCAGGTTAAAAAAAAAAAAAAAGGGAAAGTAGGTCATAATCCTATTTTAATAAAAGCCACGTATAGATTTTGTGCAGGTTTTCAATCTAATGAAGGCAGAAGCTGGGTGGAGGGAAAAATCCCCAAGCATTACCAGCAGAAGAAATCTAATGGAAGTTTTGTTTGAGGGATGTGGGACTCTCGCACGTTCCTGGCCAGTGCTCTGAGATAGCGCAGGAGGATATGACACTGCCCAAACGTGAGAGACTTCTCCTCTGACAGCGCAGAAGCCTGCCACTGCTACTGAGGCTTTTATGGTCCATTGCAGTCTGTCTCTCTTATTTTTATTTTTTGTCTTGGTCCTATATCTTAAAAGAATATGTTCTGCCTATTAATAGTGGCTTGGTTAACAAAAGCTAAGAAGAATCTGAGAGTCCCTCTTCTAAATGTCTGAAATTAGTGGGTTCTTCTTCAGAATAGCTGAAAAGGAAAAAAGTACAGTCAAATGTATGGTGTAGCAGACTTTCAATGCAAAGCTACACACTGTGCCGTTACTTCTGTTTGCCGGGTAGGAGATAATGCTGTCTCCTCTGTGCATGATTTTCTTTGAAACCCACTACACAACATTTAACAGAAGGCGTTAGTATAATCTGTGTTTTGCATAAGGGATGTCATCACATTCAGCAGCAACAAAGTTCCTCTGGAAAAAATAAAAAGGGGAGGGGGAGGGATTTTTTTTTTTTTTTTTTATTTGAAGTAGCTTAGTAGCTGAACAGGGCAAAAATTACCATAAAGCGACTGCAGCGTCCTCAGAAACGTCCTTAGTGCTGTTTGCATTTATTCTTAAGTGTCTGCACTGGCATTTACATCTTTGCTGTTTCTTAAAGCAACATTGTAGGTGGTAGAAATAGCGGCAGTCTCCTGGCTGGGTTCCCATCCCTTGGGAAGCCCCAGATACTGTTATGTCAGTAGGTTTCCCCGGTGCCTTGTGGAGGCTCCCATGAAAAGCAAACTCAGAAAGTGCCTTTCTCTCCCCATCCCCAGCTCAGCTGTTCGACAGACTTTGATTTTTGTGCTTTAAACCCCAATCCTAAAGTAGCCCGGAGTGCTGCTTCTAATTAACTCCCTGAAATTAATTAGGGTTGGAGGTTTGTCCGTGGCACTTTTTTTTTTTTCAGGATCTTGGTAAAAATGTGAATCTGAATAATTCTCACTTGCTTTTTCTTTTTTTTTTCCCCCTCCTTTTAGAAAAGCAGCTGACTGCTAGCAACTGCTTAGGAATATTAGCCATGGCTGAAGCCATGCAGTGCACTGAACTATACAACATGGCCAAAGCATACGCCCTGCAGATTTTCCCAGAGGTGGCAAACCAAGAAGAGATCCTTAATATCTCAAAAGACGACTTCATTTCCTACATGTCCAATGACAGCTTGAACACCAAAGCGGAGGAGCTGGTGTATGAAACAGTGATAAAGTGGATTAAGAAGGACGCTGCGATCAGAGCTCAGGTAAAAATAATCTCAGCAGTCTCACTCTGCTCCGTTCCCGTGAATGCCTCTTTTAAAATAGAAACCATCCCAGTGCAATTTTAAACATGAGGATGCGTAGGAGATGGGATGGGCAGTTCAGATAAAAAAAGAGAAAGGGAATGAAGGGTATGCACAAAATGTATGTAATTTCAAAATCTGATCCCCATATCTGATCATTTAGAATCAAAATCTCATTTGTGACATGCATGGTACAAAGCTAGGGCCTCGAGTTGTTGGCTGTAGGCTTGGTTGGAGATAAATCAGGAAGGATTAGACTTGTGTGAGGTGCTGCTTTAAGAAGGGGATGCTTTTTAGTAACAGTGGGAAATAGAAATCTGTCAGAAAATCTGTATTCCTTTTGATGGCACATATTGAATGAGTGCAACTTCAGTACATAAAAAAAACAGGATTCTGTATCTTTATTGGCTGCTTAGATAACCCCTGGGGTATTATATATTTATTAGTTAGCCTTTCTGCAGCCATCTGAGCTATGCATTCTACTCTTGACTCAAGAAGCTAAGTGTATTACTTTGCTCAGCACTGTCTCCAGATAAATGCTGGAAGCAATGACTGTTGGAGGTTGTTGATTGTCCTTGGGACCAGAAGACTTCCCTGGTGATATTTAAAAACCTGCCACTTGCCTTCGGCGCAGCCTTGCAAGTCAGATTTTGTGGGTTGTGAATCGTGGTGGTCTAAACTCCAAACCCCTCCTTTTGGAGGCCAGTTCTCCCCACAGCCCCCAGAAGGGGAAGGTTGTTTCCCCCCTTCCCCCTCCTTTGGAGGTCAGAGTTGCTGGCCCATCCTGGCAAGGCCAACTTCTGTTGATCCCCACTCGCAGTTTTGGTTAAAGGACAATCCCGTTGCTTATGGACCAGACTGGGACTCAGGGAGACACTTGGCCACACGTTGTCAAGGCCATCCCACATCGTGAAAGGCTGCACCTTCTTGACTTAAATGGGAATTCAAGCAACTAAATGTGCAGTGGGATATTAAAGGCGTCATTGGATGTGATCCAGAGCAACTGCAGCTCCGCCCCTCACCTGGAAAGTGGGAGAAATAGCAATTCCCTACCTCACCAGGCTGCTGGATGAGGATAAGGGCATTAAGGGCAGTGGGGTGCTCGATGCCAAGCTGCACCATGCTGCCTGCACTGCCTGCGCTGCCTGCACTGCTACTGCCAGCTCAGGCCCCAGCCCTGCCAGCAGCCTGCAGCCCCCAGGGCCTTTCCCAAACTTGTCCTGCCCTTCATAAGCAGGTGATGCAGCTCAGCAGGGCAATGCTGTGCCGGGGACCTGCCGCTCTCACTGACCACCTCCTCCATGTGCCAGCAATGCCGTTTAGTATTGCACAATACTGTTATCACCTACAACATTTACACAATCATTGATTTATTGAAATGGGCCCCTGTTTGGCTCTTGCTGGCCTTGAAAAACACGCTGGTTTGCAGAATATTTCCCTGCTTGCCTGAAGTTTGATGACAGCAGTCAGCTCTGTGCAGCTCTGAACCTAACGCAACCTCGGGGATTATTCCCAGGGGCCGGAGTGCGGCAGCCCTGCGGCGGGAGCCTGTTTGCCTGGTGCAAACAGAAGGTGTCACTCACCAGGAGGTCCGGGTTACGTTTTCAAAATTGCTGGTTTAAATACTTCCTTCTGTGCCCTGCTGCGGTGATGTTATGAATTTATTTTTTTAAGTGGTGGTTTTTCTTGCCCCCCTCTCGCTGCTGCCACCACCGCCATCTCCTTCTCTCTTCCTCTCATGTTGCGGTTGGGTTGAGTTTCTGGGTTTTTTTTTGTTTCCATATTGCCTTCCCCTCTGCCCTGCTTCTGCAGTGCCTTTGGAGTTTATGATGGCAGTTTTACTTGCTTCTCCAAATTTCTCTGTGGTTCTTTGGTTTCATGCATTACTTTACAAGGGCTTTTAATTTTTAATTTGTATTTATCCAGAGATGAGGGTCTTGAATAAATTAATATTAAAGATACCAAGCAGATAACTATTTTCATGCCCAATCCTACCACTAAACTAGTTTCTCTGTGAGATTGTAGCTCTCACATGTTTTGTACTCCGTACACTGCTTGATCTATTAGAAAGCTCTTAGTTAAATAGGTACTTATTTTCTAGAAGTAGGAACTCATACTTACCATGAAAAGTATCATCTTTACAGTAATGATTCTGCATTTTCAGAGCCCGGGAACAAATAGCTCTGACGGTGGATAGGAAGGAAGATAGACCTAAATAATCTTATTTCTGATGATGAGTGAGAATTTGTGCGTGGTGTGCAGCAAGGCCCACCATGCCAGGAGGTCCCCAGGCCGCTCGGGGCTTTGCAGAACGGGGCGAGGGTTGTTAAGTATGGGAACGGGCTGTCCAGGGAAGGGGTCGAGTCCCCATCCCTGGAGTTATTTAAAAGCCAGGCAGACGAGGTGCTTAGGGACATGGTTTAGTGGTGGGATGGCAGGGTTAGGTTAATGGTTGGACTTGATGATCTGAAAGGTCTTTTCCAACCTAAACAGTTCTATGATTCTATGACCTTCTTGCAGGAGCTGTGCCTGGATATTTTGACTTTATTCACAGTTTGGTGAGATGGATTCACTCAACTCTTCTTAGACTCTTTGGGGTGGGGAACCAGGACGTGGAGGACACCGATGCAGCAACAGGATTGTTGCTTCTGCACCCAGCCGGTGGGATCTGTTGGGAGGGTTGCTGGAGAGGTTTTAGCCATGAATTGCAATAGCCCCAAGATTTCGTTCCTGCTCTTCTTCACTCCTGATGTGACTGGTCTGGTTTTATTTCTCTCTCCAAAAACCAGTCCTGGCAGCTAAGGCTTTCAGGGCCTGGATTTCCAGGGCCCGCACTTTCTTCATATCCCCATCTCTCTTTGCCTGACAGGCCAGGCTCTATTGTCACGCTTTTATTTTCAATAGCTCCAATGGCAGGTGATTAAAATGCCTCTTTGGCAGCTTCCTCCAAGTGTGGAATTGGTGATTCTCCCAAAGGTGGATGCCTGACACAAAAAAGGCAAGTTCTGTGCTCTCCGTCTCGCCTGGTTGTCCATCTTCCCCAGCAAAGCCTGGCAGGGGCTCGCTCAGCAGAGACATCCCCCCAGAGGAGCTCGGAGAAGCAGTGCTCTCTCTAAATCAGCACCCTCTGCCCTCAGGGTAGCTGCAGCCCTCCAAAACTCCTTGTGCTTTAATGGCTTTGTGTCAGTCTGGAGTGCAAGCTTCTGCCTGGGGACAGTAAATCTCACCACTTGTGTCCCCCGCACCGCAGGTCCTTCTGCCACGCTATTACAACTTATCCGTCGCTGCCTCCCCTCCTGTCCGGATCCCCTTCTGAGAGCTCTGGGAAGGACATTTTCAACAGAGCCTCCCGTTCTCCTGGAAGGGCGTTGAGTTTGCCATCTTCCTGCTCTTCTTCGGGTAGCTAATGGTTTCTACTTTTATTAATTCTTTCCCCACCAGGCTGGAGGGCAGTGGCAGGGAAGGAACCAGAATTTGCTTGCAAGGCAAGTTGAAAAGCTGTGCTCTGGCTGACTTTTAATTTCACAAACTGCTCTCATACAAAGTCTTACGGTGCTTCTAAAAGCGGTCTCTGGCATTACGAAAAAACAGCATCCGAGCCTTGTTATAAAGAGGGAATAACAGTGCTTTAAAGGTTACTGATCCATCTACGTAAGACAGAAAGGCAGTTCAGATAATGACATATGTCCTAAGCTAGGATTTGGTAAATAACTGTATCCAGTGCATTGGAGCAGCGCGCCGGCTCATCTGGTGATGTTTGTGGTGCTACTTCAGTGCCGCTGGTAGTGCAGTCGCATAAAATCAGTCTAATCGAAGAAGCAACCTGCGATGTGAGGTCTGGACTAGGTCGGTAATTTCCCGTACAGCAGACGCAGGGCGCTGGTTGTAGGAGTCCTCTTGATTGCTTGTTGCCGAGTGGAAAGCCTGCAGCCGACTGACACGTCTGCAAAAGCTGAATTTACTGGTTTTTCTATTTATTTCTCTTCCTGACTGATGGACAAGATTGTAGGATTTATCCTAACAGTTATCCCCTTGATAAGCTTATTACAACTCTGGTGAACTCATGCAAAAAATATATTGTGTAATGGAGGCTTTACTATCTGGAAACCAGGACAGTCTCAGCCGTCCAAACAAGCAAAGATTCCTGCCAGGCCCCAAGCAGTCTTCACCTGAGCTCATCCCCCAGCTCTCTGCCTGGCCTTGGGCAGGTTGTTTCACCTTTCTGCCCCCATTTCTTACACTAAGCTGGAGGGAAGTGGGCTGCTGTGGGCTGTTGGGAGGATCTCATGGATAACGAGCCATGTTTCCCACTGGTACTAACGGCTGCCGGAGCTACAGAGAGCCACCATCATGCCCAGCATCAGTGCAGGATGGGGAAGATGTGAAGTTTCTGCATGTGCAGCAATTTGCTCCCTGCCCAGAGCACAAGACGTACCAAAGCTCGTTGGAAACTTTCCCACTTCATGCTCCAAGTCCAAAGTTGTATCTCTCTTCTCTGACATGTTTATTAATAACAGAAAGCCTGGGAGAACAAGATGTCCAGTTGCATGAAGCTTCCCTCTCACCCTGAGGAGGGGCAAGAAGTGAGGAGAGGACAAACATTTCATCGAGTTGCCCAGAGTAGTGCTGGAGGAGAGACAGGTACTGCAGCCGTAAGGGACAGGCAAGAGGCTCATCTGAATGGCAGTCACCTTTTGTTGCGCTCTGCAAGGATATAATTGTGTGCCCTTTTTTAAAACTCTGTTTAAAATCATGGTGTCCAGCAGAAAAATGAAATATCTCCACCATAAAGGCATTAACAAGCCTTCTATGAGCGTGTGTCCTCAGAGACAGATTTGTCTAAACAGCATCTTCATGGTGCCTGAGAACCAGAGATGCATAGACAAATTGGAGGTAATTTAGAGAAGAGCAACACAAATGATTAAAAGACTGAAGGAACTGATGTGAGAAAAAAAAGATTA